TACTCGGTTCGTTTTATAACAAAACTTGAACGAATGAAAATACACCATTGAACACATGTTTCCGCGGATGAAAAATCAAACCGTGTCATAGGGGATGAACGAAAAAGCAAGTGACACGATCGATCCATTGTATGTATATCCATAGGAGAGCGTAGGTTGGTTCGTTTCCATAAAATCTGTTGCTCGCGTTGCTGACCGAAATCCTAATTAAACGGCAGATTCGAATTCGCCGGTGGTCCGCGTACAAGCTTAATCCCAGGGAAGCGCCGATAATATCGATCGATGCGGCGAGTTAATTAAATTAAAATACTCGTATAATAGCGTGCCAGATGGCACGGCCAGAACATACAACCTGGTATTGAGTACTGCTTGTTCGACCCTTCGGCAACCCCCTTCCACTGTAATACGTAACTCGTTTAGTCTTGCAGGTTGACGAAAAAAAAGTAAGAAGGGCGGAACCGATGCGGGGTTTCCCTTGGCCAAAGTATTTAAGGGATTTTCATGATCCTGATTTACTGATCTGCGATCGAAAAATCATCGACTCATCTTCTTTTTTTTTAATTTTTTAAGGACCCTCATTTTTATTTAACACTCTATCAATACGTGGATGATGGAAACTTTTCGTACCCTTAATATTTTAAATTCAATATTAAATAATTTGGAAAATTTCTTTCTACTTGTTGGTAAAATAAAATTGATATAAAGAGCGATGTCTGTTTCCGCAAGTAGAATATGTTCGTGTACCTGCAACAGACTGATCCGAGATGATGCGCTCCTGATTACCCATTTACCAATGACAATCGAATGGTTATTTAGTTTCATGGGGTGAGAATCGAACCGCAGTTTAACATTACGAAGGACCGAAGGCAGGTCGTTAGCGGCGTTGTCGCAACATATGCGCTCGGCAGGCTCCATATGGGCCACCATGGACCCAAATACGAAACCCCCGTGGTCGAAGTATCGTACCCCACGCGGAGGGATCGATACCGTTTCGCTCTTTAATCGGTCAACTTTTGTGGCTTTCCACAATGTTTTCCTGCTACTTTCGAAATCCATACCTTCGCTTTATTTCTTCATTTAAAACCCCATAAACCACCAGGAACAAAATCACCAATTTCCATATTCCCTCTCTATGAAAATTTATACAAATCTTCGGAAAAATTATTATTTCTCCCCAATCTATATAACTATTTTCTTGTAGAAAATAATTATCCAGTTGTTAAGCGTTCTAAACTGAAACTGATTCGATCGATCTATGGTATCCATCGATTCCCATAAGCATTGCGGTCGTCGGCAACTTTAAATGCGACCATATGATGAGGGCGTCCAAAAAACCTGGTACTTTCTCTAACCATCGCGAGAGCGATGTACGAGGGATGAGTTTGTACGGCAAGTGCAAGGCAGGAAGCATAGGAGACCCCCATGGAGAGTGTACAGGGCAGTGAGCAGGTTGACTAGCATTGTCCGTGCTCGATGATGACGATGGGGTCGGTCCGCGCACAGATGGGCCGCTAATCTCATTGAAAACTCATGAGGACTCTCAGGGTGGGGGTGGGCCTGGCTGATCCAAGGGCTGAACCCTGCCCTTAGAAGTCTCTGTAAGTCCTAGCATGGGGGCCAAGCACCCGTACCAACCACCATATGTCCTACGTATACGCGTGCTTACGAGAATATGTCGCCTGCTTTTTTCGCGTTCCATGCTGCAGACACGTTCTATATAAATTATAGTTTGTCTCTCTAAAGTCCAAAATCCTCGTATGTGCTGGATTCTTCTCGACAATTAGCAAGTACGAATGTGAATCTCGGGAAATCTGAAATTGGAATTTCAACACGAGTTCGCTTTTCCACCGTTGAACCGGTAGAAGTTTCCCTACCTCTTACCTTGTTGATATCATCCGGGGAACGATATCGACTCGGTGGCGCGGTTGCTCCGGGGAATTTAATTCTATTCGAAGTGCCAGCTAAGATGCCAGCATCGGCTCTTATCTCTGTGCACACGGTGGGCTGGGCGCGTGGCGGTTGCTTATGTGTTACGTGAATACCTTACCTAAACGCCCGGTAGGGAAACGTTTCTGCGTGCCGTTACCAACCTCACCGACAGCCCACGATGGAACCATACACACCCGTTTGCCCGTTGCACACAGCAAGGGAGTCGACCGAGGGAAATTAATGCGACTTCCAACCAGCCGCTATCGGCCGCCGCTATCTCGCGCCTCGCTCGCTCGCGGAAAACGTGAGTCGCCTAGGTGAGAAGTTTCGAAATTTAAGCGACCAACCGTTGGCGAACGTACGCGAACCCCCCGGATTTTCAACGTCGGATCGATTGGCGTTAGTAGGTAGATGTTTCGGTTGGTATACTACTTACAAGTAGTATAAGTGCATTATGGTCAGACCGTGTCGACGCGTCGGAGTAGCAATTATTATAAAGTAAAGCGTGCTAGTTGGAATGTTTACGAATTACGATGCGAGGGTAGTGATCCATCGAACGGTACAAATTAATGGCACGCGTAAATATCCATCGGCCATTAATCATCGGGATGACTGGCATCGAGCTGAAGCGTAACGCGCTCTTAAGAGCTCACCCTTAACGTTCGTTTAATGAATCCGAAACGAAACGAAAAACACTGAGCAAAAGGTGTTCGAAGTATCAAGGATCAAGTAGTTGGTATAAAGGCAAACAAGTACTCATGGCCACGGTCTGGTCGACGGTTTTACGATAATATTTGGCAAAATCTTGGAATAGGGGTGAATCTGAGATTCTCCCCCTTGGTAGTGTCTGTAACCCGTAGAGAGTCAAGGGGAACGTGGTAGGTAGAGGGCCGTAGGAAGGTAGATGGGAGGGAGTTATTAGAATGGTCCGGAAAAGATGGCGCGGAGTCGCTCCGTATTTTTATACTGTATGGCCGCTGCTTTGCATAATCCCGCACTTAGCTCGCTCGTCCCGAGATGCCGACTCGCTATGCAGATCTCCTCTACTCTGAAAACCCGAACCTACCGAGCGTTTCGTCGTTCCGACGAATGATGGACGACACGGAGACCCTGCCGCGAACCCTCGAGCCTTCCCTCTTCGAGAATTCGCTTCCTGACGCGCCAACTGGGACCGTATCGGTGACGCGGCCGCGCAACTACCGGTTCTTAAATGAACCTCGACTTTCAACCTCTTATAACGCCCTTTAAATTCGACGTTGACGAATGCTGAGATACTTACAATCCTTGCAGAATTTCATTTTCGCGAAAAGCACCTTGGAAAAGAGCTCGAAAAACGAGAATCGCGATTTCACCGCTTAAGATAATTATAATCCTGCGAGGTTTTCTTTTAACAAAGACTTGAAATAATTGTTCCTAGTCCACAGATTCTCTGTTGTATGTTAAAACGACGATATTTCGTCGTCCACGGACAGGTGAGAGTGACAAAGATTGTTCCAAGATCGATGTCACGGGGACATTTGTCAGCTAGCTCCGTTGAAACGGAGACGTCTAATTTGCACGGAGAAATCGCGTCTTCCTTTCTCCTTCGGTCAGCCGACAACTGTGCGCCGGGTAAAAGAGAAGACTGAGAAAGCGTGGTGAGAAAGCGTGGCGAGCGTCATCAATCTTGCGAGCGAAAAGACCCAGGACGACCGTCGCGTCGTTCTCGACGTCACAGATGTGACTTTGATTCTCTTTCGGTGTTCCCTGGAGAAACGAGGCTAGATTAAGTCTGTCCCGCGTGTAATTTGTCCGAGTCCTGATTCCCGAGCCGCGAGGAAATCGACAGGGACACCTGGGCTCCTACGATTCACCTCGACCGATCTTTATTTCCATCTATTTCGAACATATTTCCAGCATATGCGCAAGATATCCAATTTCGATATCTTTTAATCTCCATCCCTAAATGATCTGTCGCGAGCAATCGTATCGAGTATTCCAAAAATCATCCCCCTCTTTAAAAATCTTTGGGTTAGAGAAAGTTTCTCGATGAAAAGACGAAACTGTAAGGAAAAAGAGAAGAAGGAACCGAGGCAGTGAATGTCTGGCCAGGTTCCGAAAGTTTATATCGCAGTGTGTATTCCGCGAGGGTAACGACGTACTCGAGGTCACGGTGGATGCACCGAGCTACGACAGAGAAACAAGGGTATAAAACCTCTGGCCCGTTGCAGCGCCGGCCACGTTACGAACAGCACGATTATACCGGTGGAGCAGGGGGTGAAACCGAGAGCATACCTTAGTTGTCCGCTCGTAAAGCAACCCCGTATGCCGGTGAGTGCGTGCCGAGCCTCTCTCTCCCTCCCTCCCTCTGTTTCTCCGTATTTCCGCCTCGACCGTTCTCTCTTCCTCTTGCTCGCATCTCCACGGAGTGTTTGTTAAACCGGAGGAATATGCATGAGAGAGGCAGCCGGCGCGGAGTTATGCTACGATGATCTTAACGGTGGTCACGGTCTTAAATATGGACACCAGAGGAAAGGGTAATCAAAATGGCTGGAAACAAGGACGAAGAAAAAGGATTTAAAAATTTTATGCACATCGATCTCTTCGAATATATTTGAAATGATGACTGATGGAATTAAGACACTCGAAAGAGTCGAGAACATTTGATAGCTCACTTGGTATGCATGGTGCCGGTTATAAGTCAAGGAATTGCTCAAGCGGCCGTAAAATCTAAATCTCTGCCGCTCGTCGGCCACCTTTTCCCTTCTTCGCCAGCCGCGTACATCACGCCCAGTTATTTCAAGAATCCTCTGAACTCATCACACGTTCAATTTGTCAGCGACTCGAGAATCATCCCGTAGTTTCCTCGAGCTAAGCGCTTGAAAAAATTGATCATTCCATGGGTGAAATCTTTGCTGAAAGTTTTTGTCACGCAATCGGCCCATAGAGCTTGTTTCCATGGGATATATCCTCGAAGCGAGAGGGGTATGCATGCGACCAATGTGCACGTCGGATTTTAATGGAAAATCGACTGCGGCTGGGAAGCACGGCGGAAGAGAATCACGATGATTCCGTGAAATATGGAGGCAGAAGCGAGCAGGTTTTCAACGGAGCCGGCAAAGCTGCACAGCGCGCTGGGTCCGTGTTAATGGGTGATTGATAAACGACCTCCTCTCATCAACTGCATCGGCTGCATATTTATCACCGAACAGACTCAGCAGAAGCGGTTTCCCGTTTGCTCCCCGAAGCTTTAGCACCAGCGAACCGGAAAGTATTTATATCCTAAGATATTGTGCAGAAAGTGCAACAGACTATTATGGTTTCTCGGTGAAATGGATTAGGCAAAAGAGCGACGGGTGAAATTTCAAAAATCTTCTCCATAATTCAAGGCATTTGAGAGGATTGCGCGAGACGGTCGGGGTGGAAACGTTTCTGCAAGGTGTCCCTTTTCGGTCGCCGCTGTTAACAGCCCTATCGTAGGACTCGGTGTCAGTGTTAACAGCCCACGCGTGTCAGCCACGTGCCGGTCGAGGTGCGACCCTCTGCTCGTTTAACTCGGACGAATTGAGGACTGCCCTTTCTGGCCGATTTGAAGAACAACGAGGACAGATGCCAGTGAAATTACACCTAGACGATTCTCACGACCCTGATTCTTTACCCTTTCCGTCTTTCTTTCGATCGGGAATTATTTGGAAATTCGAATTTTCAAACCAATTTCTGGGGCACAGTTAATCGTAGTTAGCAGCGAGGCATAAAATGGAATTAGAGATGGACGATCGCGAGTGTGCAGGGACAGATCGGCAATAAATATGGTTCATAAGCCAGGAATGGTAGCCAGAAGATACAGAAACGTTTCTAGACGTCCTACGGAGAGACGCGTGTCACGCGTTACGTCCACGAAACGACTCCATCAACTTTACGACCATGAATTAGGATTAGACGGTTGCGTTCGCTATCGTCCGCTTCGCTGCTAAACGATTTATCGCTGCAAGGGGAAGTATACCTAACAACCGCGTTGTATCTTTTAATTTTCTTTGTTAAATAATCGCGAGTGGAAGCAATCAGAGGGAATACTTTGATACGAATACGCTGGATCGTTGGTGTGTCGCGAATTGGGGTCGCCGAGTCGAATCGAAAACTCATTACAACTTTTTGCCGACTCAATCAAGAAGTTAATGTCCTTTAACCTCCAGGCGTTCCCGATAGAGTTCACGGGAATCTCGGGAATCGCGTAAGAAGTCGACGGCTCTCACATGCCCAGCAAAATGGATCACCAGCTTATGATTGATCGCCTATTGGCTCTGCGAGCTGGCCAGACTTTTTTCATGGTGTATTAGAAACCATTTCTGCCGCATTATAATTCCAACTTAGTTCTGCTTCCTCTTACTGCTACCATATATGTTCTCGACCGAACTCCACAAAAAATATCGAAAATACATGTCCGTGAAACGTGATCATTTTTTGAAACGATGCTCGTTATCGCGGAGAAACGCTTTCGAAAGAGCCGTATGTCAGCTAGAGGGATATTTATCGAAATACTGAGAAACGAGGAGGATTCGTCAGGAAGATAATCCGTAAAATGATGATCCCTCGTGGCTCTGCTGCTACCTTCTGTCCAGCTTGGTCCATTTCATACGCTCCATTTCTCTTCGCCAGCGAGGTGTCCCGTAAGATGATCATAAATAATTAAGATGAATAAATTGAACGGATATTAAAAACAAATTTGGATATTAACGAAGTTATTTAAACGTCATCGATTCTTCGGTTTCAAAAATTTTCCACGAAACAGCAAGGAGACAAATGTTTTCTCAAGAAGAAAAGAGATATTCTCGCTTGAAATGGAAAACGGTTTCAGCGAACGATCATTGGCAGGATAATCGGGAATCGTTGGAGGTCCATCAACGGATTCGACGAGTCTGCCGAACGTCCAATATCCAGGAGGCCGAGCATAAAAAAAAAAAGAGGAGCCTGGTGTGCGGGCGTTAAAAATATTCAAGATCGTTTGTCAGGCTGAATTACAGCTCTGCTCAGCTCCCGCGCCACCCTTCAAAACCTCCCTCCCACCGACAGGAGTTTCTGCGTTGGCGCAACCCGGAGAGGGCAGAAGAGGAAAGAGTCGACGACAAAGACGATGCTGGGCACATGTGTCGAACCTGAAATATGTAGGCGTGGTCTGGATGGAACTAGCAGACGCGTCCCGACGACCGAATATGTTCACCCCGTTCGTACGCTCCACCCTCGCCTAACCCTGGAAACGTTGCCATTGGACGGTGCCCACCCTCGTCGCGCCTCCACCTGCCACTACGAGCTACCCTCAACGAGATTCTACCCCTAAATACAGGGGATGCGCGTTCGGTTCCCTCATTTTAACGTGGTCCGCCGATACGCGCTGTACCCTTGTTCGTCTCCTGTGTCTTCTTCAGTGATAACAGTTAGTGTTTGAAACTGGCGATGTTTTGTTAATAAACGGGATGAAATTGAAATGGAAGTGCGAACGTCGATGTCTCAGCTCGAGGACTAACTGCACCCGGACAGGGTGAAAGCGTGACACCCTTGAAGCACGAGCACTGACAGGCGGAAGGATTTTCTCTTGGACGCGTGGTCCGGTAAGCAGATTTTCATTTTTAATTATTTTTTTATTTTAAAAGTGTGTTTCGTTGAACATTTAGCCCCGTGACTGTCACGAATCTGTATATATTTTTATTCATAAAAGTTGTCATTTTAACATGCCTTGCCATACGTCTTCATTTTCATTGTGACAATCATCGTGTTAAATTTCAAACGAGCATAAATTCCGATCAACCAATCGCTCATACGTCGAATCTCATTGACCCAAATTCCCCCTGTTAGAGAACACAGAGGTGACACCTGGTCCGGCTGTACCAGGCGCGATTCACACATCCATCATTAGCCGTGAAGTCAGTTAAATTGACCAGCGGCCTTCATTGTCGCAGGTCGATCATCCGGAACGAGCAGGATGACAATGGAAGATCGCACGGGTGGCATCGACCGTGCCGCCCCCGCGACCTCGACGACCGCCACCACGGCGTTAACCTCGTCCAGTCCGTCGTCCATCAGCGACGCCACCACCGATGCTTCCTATCCTCTTCAGCGCGCCAGTAAACGTTCCTTCGACGTCGCCTTTCTGGTCGCGCCGGACGAAAACCTCGCGCGTCGTCAGAGCGAGAAGATGAGGATGATCTCCAACCGGAAGCAAGATCGTCCGCGGGAAGACATCGCAACGGAAAGCGTTTTGGACGCTGATAGACTGCCTCAGAATCTGACCATCAAGAACTACGACAACGACGCTGTGGTATCCGATAGAAGGAGGATGATACATTGTACAGAAAATTCATTGAGTCCTCCGTATATTTCTCCAAGGACACTGACACCGACTCTACCAGGTCTGTCTCCCGAAAACGACGTCAGGAGATACGTTTCTGGGAGCCGTCTTCAGAAATCACCCAGTCCGCCTACCTTCGGGCCTCACCAATCGATACTGACCACCTGTCCCGAGAGTATAGAACCAAATCTAGCTTGCAACAAGGTCTACGACACTGGTATACCCTGTCAGGCGGACAGACACGGCGAGTCTCGAAGCGCCTTCACGAAAGTGAGCCTAACAGCTCCGAGAAACGGCTTCAGCGACGATGGTCAGACCTCGCCCAGGTCGTCCATATCACCCGACGATCGCACCAGCTATCAGAGCAGCGTCAGTCCGCCTGTAGTTCCTCTAACCGCCGCTCCCGGTTACAAATACGCGCCCTTTCCCGCCAAAATGGCATATCCATTCCTGGTCAGCCCAGAAAGCAGTCAGCCTGGCTTACTGGAGAACTTAAAAATACCGCAGATCGCTCAACCGCCCAAAGTACCCAGTCCAAAGATACCTACATTTCGACCGGACCTACCACCGGTTTACCCAAACATCCCGTACAATCCTATTTCCGTATTTCCGCCTATGGCCGAGGCGCTCAGCAGGCCCCGATTTTTAGCGACGGCCGCAGGAGTGGCCGGTCTTTTACCGCCTTCCTTCGCCGCTCTCACTCTGCCTGCGCAGAACGTCTGCGCCAAGTGCAACCTGTCCTTCCGGATGACGTCCGATTTGGTTTATCATATGAGGTCCCATCATAAGAACGAGAATACCGGTGAGGCTGCTAGGAGGAGGAGGGAGGAGAAACTGAGGTGTCCCGTCTGCGACGAGAGCTTCCGGGAGAGGCATCATCTGACCAGGCACATGACCGCTCATCAGGATAAAGAGAGCGACGCGATCGTCGATCAGGTTGAAGTGAAGAGACGAGCGACAACGGTTCACAGCAAGTGACGACGGAAATCGTCGACCGAAGATCCGGTGCTTACTAGTAGTAGCTATTCTTTTGAATAATCGAGAAATTCATTGGTTGGATTTAGATTGAAATTTTTCAGACGGGGACACCAAGCTCTTCCAATTTTTACGTAGTTCCATACACAGGATAATCATCGTTACCTATTCTATCAGCTAGCTCCTCGTTACTGAATGTCCACGAATTTTTGCACGTCTTTTTTAACACTTTGAATCAAAACTCCCAATTAATCCAACTCCGTATTAACGAGATTAATCGACATTTACCTGGTATACGTGTACGATAAGACAGTAATTGCTGTAAGCTTTAAACTAGGAGAACCTTGTCTCTGGATAAGGTGATATTCCCTCTCTAGTCAATATTAGGTAGGAAAAATTTGTAAATAATTCGATAACTTTAAAAGTGTCGCGAGTTGCTTAAGTATCCCTTTGAATTCTTAATTTTGTTCAAGAGAAAAATGAATCGAATCAAAGCGAGCAGGTGAAAACGAAGGGGGTAGATATTCAGGTGGGGCTAAAACGGTACTCGCTAGGATGTTTGTGTGGTAAGGGGTGGAAGAAGGGTGGGTAGAGCAATAAATAGATCGTAAACCGTAGCAGGGCTAACACACAAACCGTCGGAGCGCGCATAATGGTAGGAAACAATGAATGCCGTAATCGGAAACAGTGCCGGTTTGTTATCTGCCATTTACACTCCATTTAACTTCAAACAGTGAATCGGCTGGCGCGCATTCGCGTTTTAAATACACGCGACCTCCGTGCCATCCCCTAGCTCTCTACACCCCCGCACCCTCGCGACGTACGGCTTAACATAGGGTTAACCTGGCTGCACAGAGTGGCTTAATATTGCACGGAATTGCTTGACTTATCGCCACTTCCGTTCCTGCTTTTAACGTTTCCTTGTTTCGACACTCTCTTCACTTGCTTCCTTCCTTCCTTTTTGCTTTGGTTAACAATCTTGGAATTTGTTGAATTTTAATTTAATGCTTAAAAGGGACACGAGCTGCGACGAGTGGAATAAATCGTATAAGAGATAGGATAAAATACTACAGTATTCTGTACAGCAATAAATTAACAGTAGTGTGTATATATTCGAAAAAAGGGAAATATTCTCGATGGTAGTCTGCACGAAATTTTCACGTTATTTAATAACGGATTCATTGTTCTAGTTCTATCAATGTGCACGGTGTAAATGATTCATCATCATCATCATCTTGTTAGATATAAGGATCTTGTTTTATTTTTTAAGGATTATTTATCACCACGTCACGTTGTATCGATTCGATGTAAATATCATTCTGTACATATGCACTGTATGCATCCGGAATATCGTTGTTAATAAATAAAAAGAGTATCCGTGAAGAAGATCTCGAAAAAGATTTCTACCTTGTCCGGTTTCGTTGGTTACTTGGAAAAGTTTTGCTTCTTCATTTTTAAGAGTAACAACTCTTTCGAAGAAATATTGCTGGCAAATCGACTTGTTGAATCGAACGTTGAAAATGGAAGGCTCTCCGAGGACTATCCGGTGAGGTACCCGAGTCCGTGGAGAAAAAAAGAGTAGCGAGAAATCCCCTAAACGGGTAACGTTAAGCCCGTGGAAACCGCAGCCAATACGACAAACAATCTCTTACCGCCCTCGTTTCGGCTTAACTTCGCCCCTTAACCTCCCCCTCTCAACCGTCGGTGTAAGTGTACTTACCCTCTGCCCGAGGTCCATAAAGATAAATAACACGAAGCAGCCACGGACTCGAGAGTAGTTGTATCCCTTATAAAACTAGGAAGAACCCCACCCACCCCCCCAACGGAAATTCTCATCATCCCCTGAGTATCGTTCGCCTTCCTCTCTCTTCTTCCTTTTAACGAGTAAATCCGTCTCTCGACGCTTCTTATTTCTAGAGCTGGTTATTGAATTTGAGTATCTTTCGATTTCTTATAGTTTTTAAAAAAACTTTGACGGGAGGGATGAAAGTGGATTCGAAAGAGATGGAAAGCATTATGGTCGGTGGTTCGTTTTAAAAGGAGCATCGGTCATCCATCCCCTGTTTGACCTCGATCAAACGACACTCGTTCTTCCCACCCTTGTTAGCGATACTTCTCTCCGTGGAGAATCGCGCGCATGCTTGTTCTGTCAGTGAAATAATGACAATGTCATAGCTACGGAACGATTCGACACGGCGCCCTTGCCACGTGGACCACGATTGGACGCGGATATGCTAATATGGCGTCCGTTCCAAGACATTAACTCCTCGGTTTGCCGATTCTCGACAGAAGAGTCGCGTCTTCGACTCGATACCACTTTGTACCCTTTCGAACAAATTGAACCTTTCTTGTTCTTTTTCTACTCGCGCGATGCAAAGATTCGACAACTTTTCCGTCGACTGGAAAGACGGATTCTAATCCTGCCACCACGCTCGCCCCGATTCTCGATTAGCCACGGTGCTTCGTCGCGATTATGTAACTTGACTGCGAACACGCAGCTTACATCGCTCTCACGATCATCCCCGTTTCGATCTCAACCAGGCGTCGCTAAACGATTTTCACCGTTCGCAATGCCACTTTTCCAGAGACATATGCTACGATTCTCGTGTACGCTTTCTCACACGAACTCTTAACGGTAATTAGAAAATCTTTTAATTCGTCGAGTTCATAAAATCAGAACTTTTCTTCGATCTCAACAGCGAACAATGAAAAGGACCCCCGTCCAACATATCGCGGACACTGTTGAATCCTTCTGTCCGGTCGCGAGACTGTAAATCCGCAACGAGGCGGACAGCCGCCGAATTCGAAGCGGATACCGCGTACCGCTCGTACTCCGCGGCTCAACAAAGAGCTACCTGTCGAGAGGGGTAAAAAAATCCGAGCCCTGTCGTGCGAGCTGGCTGGCCGAAATAGAAAGGACCGGCCAGGCGGGCAATAATTCGAAACAAAATGTCAAGCGGCCACCATTGTCGAGGCTGGTGGTGCGGTAGGCGCCAACTAGCGCCGACGAGAAAATATCGCCGACAGTAAATCAAGGTGTAGAAGAGAAACCAACACCTTCCCTCGTACTCCGCGGATGTCCTGCATTTTTTTCCAAAACTATTTCATCCCTTTGCGGACGGTGCAGCGGCACGATTGCACCCAAAGCTGCTTCCGTTTCTTGTCATTCGAAATTTGGTTGACGATACTTCCTGTTAGTATTCAAAGTTGTATATAGAAGCTTGGATAAGATAATATTAATTCCAAAAATTTTTTCATATAAAATCGTGTATGGGGGTTGAAATTAGGGTAGCTAAAGAGGGAGAGAATACTCGATCGACTGAAAAAAAAAATATTTTTCACCCTGCTTAAATATGTCCGACCGCAAAGCAATAAAATATCTTTATCTTACTCGTGCCATTACTCCCTTGATTGGGTGGGGGGAGGTTCAATTTACATTCCTATCGGAGCTTCGGAAAGATAAGTCCATTTAAATAAATTAGTAATGCTATCTCTTGGTCGGCGTACGGAGTAGTGGGGGGGGGGGGGGGTTGGATTTAATAATATTTTATCAATTTTCGCGGCGATTCGTTACGCGGTGACAGCGTTCACCATTGTCCCCGGCGTACAATTGGCCGAGTTTTAAACTTTACGCCTCGATGAATCATCTTTCGCGATATTCGCGCCACGATAAAGTTGCTGTAAAACTTTTACCTACCTTGGAAAACATTTCGCTGTTTGAAAATTTATTTTCCAATAAACATTACCAAGTTGAAACCTTATAAAGTATCATTCTTATTCAAGAATCGAATACATGAAAAATAAAAAATAAAAGAATAACGAGAGGGTGAAGATTTTTGAGAGCAGATTCGTTTCGTGGGTCGTTTGTCGAGTTGCAGTTTCCCTTTTCCCCTTTCTGGCTAACGTGTAGGTAGGACAATATAATGGGGCATAACAACGGCGTTAACACGCACTGGCCGACCCCGGACGCGACCCATGACCCTTCCCAGGGTGAATTACACCTCTGATAATTACTAGAAATTAATGTTCGTGCCTTACACCGGTCATTGTGAACCGCCTCGTTTAGTCAGCCTTGTATTTAGCTGCTTTTACCCTGTTAATCGCGACACTTGAATCGTTCCACATTTTCTTAACAACATTACTAAACCACGATCGTATCTTCGATTGAAAGAAACGTTCTTCAGCGATGCGACGTTAAACAGAAACGAAAGATGGAGAGAAAAAAAAGGGGGGATGGAAGGAAGACGAGGCTCGTAAAATTGGAAAATTAAAATCGGCGCCGACAACGAAGCGGATCCGTGGCTGATAGAGGAGGCGGGCAAACCGATGGGATGTATTAAAGCTGCGGCCAGGGCCACACCAGCAGATAGGTTAATGTGAATTTATTGCGATCGAGATATCACCTCGGCCAGAAAGCAGAGACGCGTGCTACGCGCGCCGTCAAACCGATAGCCATTGTGAATCAGAGATCCTTCTCAAATCGCTCCAACACAGAATCGAATCTAAGGGGACAGAAACTTTGTCACTGTTTTAAAGCAACCAGCTATTCCCTTATCTAAACGCATCCGGGACCGTCCACGCGTGCTGATTCTCTTCTGGGTAACGGTGAATAATAAAATAATTGAAATTCTTACAAATTTCATCGAATTCGATACAGAACTCGTAACGATAATTCATCCCAAAAGATATTAAGGCGTCGCGTAACAGCGATCGGGTCGTTTTCGGGATCACTTCCGGTGCGACTCTGTTCTCCGCGGCTTCTTCGAGCCTCGTCGCCGGATAGTCCCTGCGATCGTATATCACATTACTTTAATTCATATGGTAATCGCGTACAACGCAGCCACTACGCGGTACCGCCGAAAACTTTCGGAACAATGCGAGGCTACAATGCGAGGTGGGGGGGAGGGGGTGCGTGGAGGGAGAGGGTGCAGAGGTTCGCGGAGGTGGAGGAGGGTATAACAGGGCGGACAGAGGGGATAGAAGAGGTTTTGGGGGTGGAGTTGAACGAGAACGGTGCGAATGCGATATTGAATTCGCCCCTGGCGACGTGCCTGTTATCGACAATGTCCGACCGCTGGACCGGAAGCCATTTGCTCGCACTGTGACGAAATTTATGAAAGTTTCGCCGCGCTCTCGCGGTATAATTGGGAAGGCTGCCGCATGTATGGCAGCGGAAAGGTGCCACCTCGACCACCCCCGACCCGCTTCGAACATGTTCGCCAACGATTCTGCGCTGCTGGCCGATTCCGTTGCGGAAGCGGAAAGAAGAACGCCACGGCACCGTCTATTTCACCTTTGTTTCCCATCGGCCAATTGGCATTGTTTTTGTAACGGATATTTTCTATCGGGTTAACGCGAACAATGAGCGACGATGTTGTATTCCATACGTAATATTGAAAACTGAATTCAGAAAACGCGAGGGTGGATAGAGAAAATAAGTACACCGAGTAATTAATATTTTTCTAATACCACGAAGAAAATGAAGAGCTCACGATCGGTGAATTCTAGTACAGATAGATCTTTCAATTTCTCTGGAAGCCGGGGCGGATTCGGGGCGTTTGTCGGGGACCGATAGAAATGCAATTCCCATTTCGCGATGAAAACCGCGGCTCGATCCGCGACGGATCCATATGCCGAGAAGTGCACCATCCAATCTGAAAGTGGCCGGTTAACGCGAACACACAGCTTATGCGCCATACGTTAAAAACGCATGTTCCTGTCCACCTACGTGATTCCGTCCAGAATCAACGAAAACCACTGATGAAAATGAACACCCCTCTCTACTGAAACCTTGCCGATTTCTTCCTTCTACTTCAGGATATTTTTACTAATATATCGTCACGATGAATTTCCAAAATTAATTAAATGCACGATTAATTAATATAGAATTGGAAAATTGTGTTATTTGATGATACTTTGAGATGCAAATGTTCGGATACTTCGGTGAATAACCAACAGCTGTGAAGCTTCGAGTTCGCAAAAAATTTTCAAGATTGAGAGCGGCATCGAAACCGATGGAAATTGGCCGGTCGGCCATATGCGTCCGTTCTGGTATGCGCGCAAGTGAGCTGCAAGGGTGTCGAGGGGGAGGTGGATGGTGAACGGCAGGGTGGGCCGCATTACAAATTTAATCTTACAAATGGATCCGAAAACTTGGAAACAATGGAATATATGAAATGCGGCCGCGTATATCACGACGGCAGACACGGGGTGGTTCCAGCGGCAATATTGTCAGGGCCGATCCATATTCTCTATGAAGCAGAGGATGGGCCAGCGTCGAGCGAATATCGAAGTAAGAGAGGCAAAACACGCTTTTGGCACGGCAAGAAATCGCGAGATACACGCACGGTTCCTGTCACCCTCGACCCAGGACCCGTGCTTTCTCCGTCGAAATTCCTAACTCGAGATACGTCTTCAGGAATTTCAACTTTCTTCGTTCGAACGCGTTAACGATACCAATTAAAGGAAAGATATTACACCGAGAAATGTTTGGGAAGAAATGGCCGATTCATCCAGGCCGGTTCGATCGTGAATCTGAGAAGACAAGATACGCCGAGGGGTGTGTTCAAACGCAGAAACGGTAGGGTGAAGTCGTAGATTCGGGGCAGAATCTAGCCGGCTAGATTAGCATAAATATGGCGTCTTAGAACGGGGGCAGTTTGTCATCGTTAGCAAAGCACACGCTTCCTGGGACTCGACGAGTCACACTCCTCTGAATCGTCGTGTTGTTACTATTCCCTGTTGAAGCAACCAAGGAACGTCCCGCAGGAAGGAAA